ATAGGTCTTCAGCAACCCATGCTTGCCGTAAAAGGCGACTTTGCTTGTCGTAAAAGGCGACTAACGGGATCGGGTGGTCAGACTCGCTGACTTGGTTGATGCATGTCATGGTATCCCAATTGCGTGGATCGATGCGCATGACGTCAATCACTGGATTGTCTTGTCCAGACTCGATTATTTACAGACCGCCGTCATATAGCTGGAATATTGCTGAGTGCGGCGTCAAGCAACAAACCAACAAACCAAATCAATTGCGTCGATCGATGCTCATGATATTAATCACTGGATTGTCGGGTCCAGACTCCATTATTTAAAGACCGCCGTCATACGGCTGGACTATTGCTGAGTGCGGCGTTAAACAGAAAACCAACCAACCAACCATTCGTCACCACTCGCATGTTTCCGTAAACTGCAACAAAGGCTCGTCCCCTTCTTGAAGGCCGCCATGAGTCGAAACGGCGCAAGCCAATCAGAAGGCGCGTCAGGACATGGGTACTTAATTAATTTTGGGAATACGATTTGTCTATAAATTGGGGAAAATGTAGATTGTCGGACAGAGTTGTGTTATGTTAATTGATGGTGTCACTTGTAGGGCCATGTTCGATGTAGATTTAAATGTACACGTGTGATTGTTTACCTTCAGAAAACTACACCACTGACTGCGACACCCGTTCATTTGAGCCACCACTTGTCTTGGCTTTCCAAACTACTGTATTCAGTGTAGAGTGTGTGGTGTTGTGGACATTCTAGTCTACTGGTATTTGAAATATTTACAAATTTGTTTGTGACAGACCATGACAGCTCATACTCCAATAAAGACGACAAAAATATAAGGAAATGTCTAAGTTTCCATTTAATATATGATGTACTAAAAATATTAGAACTCGGGAAGTGAACATGTAACTTTTGAGATTTCCACAGGTAATTCATATGTTTCATGGCCCATGTCAAAAGTACAAATTTAAGAATTGTCAGCTCAGCTGAGTTTGGTTTGTGTATCAAATGATAACCTGTATTAACTATCTAGAGATAAGACTTTGTCGGAAATTGCTCTGGGTTATAAAGTTAATGCATACCAGCTAGCACTGACAAATATTGAGACAATCCACTTCCATTATTGTTGAAATTACTTAAATCTTTCGTCACTTTTCTTCATCTAATTTTAATATCTTATTTTAAAATTAATAATTTGCAAATAAAAGATAAACATCTGAGAATGAATGGCTTGCTAAATATACGTTTGTACAAAAGAATATATTTGTATTTATATCAGAGAGGTTCAATATTTTTACAACAGGAGTAAGCGAGCGTTGCTGTAACGCCTACATCAATTTTACTGTTACGCGCGGGTAGAATAAGAGTTATCGTTCTTGTTTGAAGTAGTTCTCGTGTTCATAGGGAAACCTTCGAGATGGGCGCGAGTCTACATTCGGCTTGTCACGAGTTAGTCACGAATGGTTATGCAGTTTAAAGGTAAGCTTGTGGGAAGTGTATTTTAGAAATAAATAACGTGTGTACAGACGGAAGTATACTCTTAAAAAACAAACGCAATACGGATATTTTTGGCCATAAAAGCAAAATTAGCGAACCAAGAGGTGCAAAATGAAGAAGTTTAATGTGTTATAGTGTCAGTGACAAAGTTCCCGGATCAAAATTATCACAACAAGGACATGCAAACCATTAGTCGGGAAACACGTACCATTCGGAAAAACGCACCCAGTGCATTAACAAAAGGGCCATGGAGCTGCAGGTATTGCACGTGCAGCAGCTCTATGAACGGTATTAAAGTGCAGAGTTTTTGATTGCCAGGCATCTGCGTCAATCGAACAGTGACAGTTCAACAACATGCCAAGATTAACAGAAGTGCAAAGAAACAAGGTCATAGGCCGCTTGCAGGCAGGCGAATCCCGATCAGCTGTAGCCAGGGTTTTCAATGTAGCCCCCAGCACCATCACAAGGCTATGGGATCGGTTTCAACAACATGCGTCAACACATGATCGGCCGAGGTCGGGATGACCAAGAGTAACCACCCCCGCATAAAATCGCTACATCCGACTGCCCCACCTACGTGAAAGGACGACCAGGAGCCACCTCAACCGCATCCCAAATACCCGGACTGCGCAGACCGCTAGAAACCGTTTAAGAGCAACGGGTCTACGAGCAAGACGTCCTGTTCGACGCGTCATATTGAATCGACAACATTGTCAACAACGACTGCATTGGTGTTGTCAACACAGAGTATGGCCTCAACCACAACCCAAGACGTTGCAGCTGTTGGCTTTTGCGCTGCAGGTCGAGTGGGCTACCATTCCCCAGGATGTGATTCGCATACTCGTCTCTTCCATGGGCAGGAGATGTCAGGCCGCTATCGATTCCAACTGGGGACATACACGTTATTGATGGTAGCTGACCTTTACCTTGGACTTTTCCTATGTACCGATAACTGAGATGACTACAATCACTAAGTGTTCTCTCCACAACATTTTGGCTCAATACCTTGAACGGTTCCTCGTATCAATGTATTTTCATACCTTACACAAATCTGGCTTTGCGTTCCTTTTTTCGAAGTGTATATTAATTGTGTAAACAAAGGAGTCAAACAAACATAATTGCATGAACTATCTGAACTTTATTGCACTCAGGCCGCTATCAGCGGCATTAGAGGTACAGCATTGACACATCAATATATACATCACTATATACACATATACAATATAGCCGAGCAGTGGCTACAGTAAATAAAGGGTTCAGTTAAGAGACATATTGATAGGGTCAAATAGCAGCATCATAATTTTACAAAATTTTGATAATTTTCTATAAGTGCTCCCTAATCTTTTACTACTAAAAAACAAATACATTTTGTACATATTTGGTGAAATGTAACTCTATTTTCTAATCAGCTGTTGTTTCTCTCATTTTGAAATAGTGGACGGATAAAAGATAGTGGAACTTAAATCAAATGATTTACAAAGTGAACATTTTCTTTCAGTTAAAAGTATTTTTTTTCATTTTCCAGTTTCAATTGGGAGTCCAAGTACTATTGCATGACCAAATACTGCATCGTGTTTATGTAATCATTCAAGCATTATGTATAACTTTAATGCTTCACGTTTTTAGTTAAATATCACAGAAAATATGAATGAATAGTGAAATATGTCTTAATAAATGTATATGTATGATGTATACTGCTACCATCCGACATAAACATAGGATATTCAACACTTCAACCTCATGGTGTAGGTTCATATACAATGTACAAATCACACGGGTGCCCAATCAATGTTTGTCAATGGTCAACCTAAACTCCATCTTTGATCTGGTTTAGTCATTGATAAACGACTCATGACTTCATCAATATACTAAATTTTTCTTGAGCATAATGGTCTAAATCAATCAATGTTCGACAAAGTGATAATTTAGTCATAAACAATTCAAAGGCCAAAATTTGTGTTGTGTGACCTTTGACTATATTATTGACCGGTTGGATGGATATCTGAGGCTTTATTGAACTAGATACCTGAAAAGGTTTTGTTAACACCCATGCATGCCAATTTGGATGAATGAGATGCTTATTATTGATATAACGTGATTTATTTGTGCTATCAATTTTCACCGACAACAGGAAAATATTCCTCACTACAAGTACAAATACTCACAACAAGTACTGAAACGATTCTGGTGAAAAAACATTTCAACATTTCAACATTGCTTCAGATAAAAATGTTTTCAGCAAACTCGAGAGACGCCATTGGTTGGACTTTGCACACTGTTTAACTTTTGTCGCTTCAGTTTCAGCAGCCCTACAGCTGGAATAATGCTGAGTGTGGCCGCGTTAACAACACACAAACAAAACACTTTCGTTTGTGATGAAAGAAGCTCGACCAATACAAACGTCCAGTTTTTTAACCACAAAGGACACAAATGTACAACCTGAACCGAAAATTATGATACAACACTACACATACCATCAACACATTAGCATAGCATATTTACAGTAACGCAGACCATCAAACTTTCCACCCATGCCAGTAAGCTTAGCCATTTTAATCGTCCAGTACCCCATACACGTTACTTGTCCCGTTATCCCAATCTTAATATCACTTAATACAATTTATACCTTTAGCGGCACTTGTAGGGCTCCCTCTTGGGTCAGGTAAATGAACAAGCTACATTCAAGTATTCAATGAGACAAACCAGTTTTAACTTTCTATGCTACAGGTTATAAATGTAATGCTCCCTGTTCTTGCAGTCAGAGGACACAAAATACTACATTTAAGTACAGCCCCTTCCCCTGTGGTATCGACTTATAGCATACTCAAACAGTAAGATGACAGTTCCTAATGCTATCCCGATTCCAGAGACTACACACACCAGGAACAAATCTTTTACTTGGATTGTTTCCTGTCTCTCAGTCGGACATTGCTTTCTGTTTGATGTGGCTAAATCAAACCAATATTTGGATAGGCCCCGCTCAACTAGGGACAATATTCTGAAAGGGAACGAAAAGAATATTTAAGTACTATTCATAGAAACCGCGGCATTAGTTTTTATGTGTGTGAAGCTGGACGGGCCAGTTAACCCTTCTTCCAGATTGTAATACTTGTGGGGGCAAAACTAATCATAAGATAATAAATCAATCTGTGATAAGAGAGCTCGCACAAGTAATAACGTGAATACTTTCATCAAAGGTTAATATTTAGCATTCAGGAATTCTCAACCATTTGTCATGACATCACACAAACCATGATATCGATGTGAAGAGGTGAGCAGTGACAAGTGCGAATATTTAAAGGAAAGCCACTTACTCAGGATCAAACAAACTGGCCAGGGCCGATTGCTTGGGGAGCAGAAACGAAACATAGCTCTGGAAAAATATCTCTTTCGATGCCACAATGTCACATCTATCGGCCATATATTTCTTCATGTTGCTCGAAATTGTTATCCAGGCAAATCTACCAGATTCCAGTTGATCGTTGTTGTAGATTTGATTTTCAAAAGCTGTCATATTGTCGGGTTGGTGTTCTCTTATCTTCCGCCACAGTCGTTTATAAAGGGAGATATTTGAATTCTGAAAGAGTGGTCATATCTGTAGAATTTCCTACACATATTTCTAACACCCCAATTGTAATAGAGTTTAACAATTCTCTTCCTTATGAATGAAGTAGATCAATAAAATAAAGCCACAAAACATTTCCATAATCAAAAGAACCTGTTGTACAATTCCGACTACATTATAAGCATGTTTCACTATCTGTTAATGATCATCCAAGGTTTTCATGGAAATGTACATACATAAAGTGTGTTTTTTGTAAGTTAATAATAATGGCTTGTTGAAAGATTATAATGCGAAATACCTTAAAAACTGATTCTTGAAGACTTCCTGTATCTACTCCCAAGTTATACCCACTGTCGAGTACATCGCCCAAACCCGTGAAAGGAAGATTATCTTTGGCGAGAGCTAGATAGGCAGTGAGGTTACCGGAGTATACAGACGTGATGATAATACAAAATAACCACCAGAAACTGAACAGGATACGTTGTGAGTCTGTGGATGGTAATGTAGATGAACCTGCAACATATGTAATTGATCAATAATAATACCTGATAAACATAATGTGGGTACATATAAAGATGCACTCATCAATACATGATGTCACCTGACATGTTTCTTTGTCAGTCTTGCCGTGTGAGGTCGGGCGTTGTCTGTTGGACCATGACGTTCGCTTGTTGCATAATGGGAAGGGCGTGTGGCCGAAGAATCTCATCCGTGTAACGTTGTGCCGTTTAATTCCCCAGAACTTGCACCAAGTCTGTTCTACCAGTGTAAGAGACGGCTGTACACATCATCGCACTACCACCCCCAAATCTGTCAACTTCCTGTATGCAGTTTCGTGCATAACGTTCCCCGCGACACCTGTAAACACGACGTCTACCATCTGCACGGCGAAGCTAAAAACGTGACTCATCACCAAACCAAACCTGTCTCCGTGGCAGCTGTTGTCATACTCTGTGACCTTGACCATGTAGAAATGACCAATTCAGTTTTGCAGAATATATATTAACACAAATGTTCATTTTGTTAAAAAATAAATATTCTATTTATAAATTAGAATGTAAGAAGATTTATTCTATGTTAGATGATATGACACCTTTATCTCAATCTGTTTTAATATTTAGTGCCAATATTTTGTTGATAAGTTGAAGTGTGAACCCCCATATGTAGCAGTTGACTGATACATGTAAGTCAATGGTTGAATAAATTAGGTTTTCTTATACATACCCTGTTTGAATGGAACTCTTAAGATGATTGCAGTCTTCCCCACGAATATATTGTCTCTTTTCATGTCTCTTTGGAAGAACAGCCACTCGCTGGTCCTCTTTAAAGTATGAAACAGCGCAACAACCCAAACTAGCACAGCAAAGCCACACACATATATCTGCCATTGGAAGCAGTACAGCAAAACATCCCACTTCACTCTTGGTGCAGGTTTCTTGTAGATTATACCAGAGTAAAGGGAGGCAACTGGATACAAAAATGTCAAATAGACAGATCTTTCGTCGGAGAGACCATATGGAATAGGAGATAGGTCAGCAGTCTGCAAACAAGTTCATGAAAAGATGGTTCATGGCCATGGATACTAATGTTTGTTTCTGAGTGAGAATACATGTGCATTGGCAAGTGTAACTGTGTGATAAGTTATTCACAAGAGGTGAATTAAATCAGTTAGTGTCATAGCGGATTCCGTATGTCACGAGAAATGAAAGCGAGTTCAAACCGAATGGAAACTAACTAATCACTTTTAAGTTATAAAGATGACGCCTGGTGTTCGCCAAGCGGGTGCCACCTCCGCGTCAATGACATAGTAAATCATGCTGCTGTTGTTGATAGTATCATTCAACTAAACAAGTACTTGATGTGACATCAATTTTTAATTGCTTATAAAATACCGACGAACATAACCGACAGTTTCAAATTTCATTTACTGGAAAAGAAATTCCAGTCCATTTCAGGTGTCTAATGACAAAGTTCCGCCATGTGAATGTTTCCCAATTTTAGTTTTCAATACTATGGTTACTGATATAGCCAAAACTTTGACATATAAAACTGAAACATTAAATGAAAAAATATAAGTAAATAATGATAATGTCATTGTCTGACGCTACAGATCAGCAGATAACCATAGACCGACCATCGTGCACACTCATACATCAATGTGGTACCATTCGACTAGAATTATGTGCTTTTTCACTTTTCCCTCAACGAACATATGAAAAATTGTCACAGTTTGAATATTAAGAATAACAACATGAAGACATGAGAATCTCATCAATACCCCATCTATGAGCATTCTAATTATTCCATCCCATGTCCCATTGGGATGCCGTATTCCCCATGACTGGTCTTTTGGTTCAACATAGGTATAACTGAAAAGAACAGAAATGACAAATTTACCATTCCGATAAAAATATATAACTAAATCACTGTGCAGTTGTGTTGAAACTGTCTCAAATCTAACCACGTGCAGAGTTTTATACAATATTGTGCTAATAATTGCAGATTGAAGTTCAATGTATCTTTTGAAAAAATTATTCTAAGGACAAAAAATTGAATTTGACAGGTTACAATTTGACTAACCTCAAGGAAAATAATTGTAGTTTCATCAGCTACAAAGTTTCAACTTTGTACAGGTTTTTATTACCTTCTTACTAACTATATATTGAAGGGTTGCCATGGACAGGAATGACAAAATTAAAGGGATACCAACGATAGGGAATGGGAATAGTTTCAGTACCATTGGGTTATGTGTTGCGGAAGTAACGTGTCAAATAGAACATATTTCTATTTTGAAGGCCAGAAAATCAAATACTCCATACATCTGTATACGAGGGCGTATCTGCTTTATGTGGTAGGAGAGCCCGAAGTGATGGAAGTCTTAGACGTTTATCACTTTGATGAAACCAACCACTACGGGTATAATGCTGACAAACCTAAAAATATAATCGGGGCGAACCGGGATTCGAGCCAACGAACATACGATTCAACTGAGCACAACGAATTGCAGTGCCTAAAACGACTGGACCAACCCTGCCCCTTAATGATTACGAATATAGCTTGGGTTACATTATAAAATTAGGTAGATCATTGTTAACGACAATAAAATACGTACCAGAAATTGAACACTCTAGAGAGATGATGGAGAATATTATCACAAAATCCCGTATAGGTGAAAGTACCGTTGAGGAATCTCTTTTCACACGTCGGCCACTGAAACAGAGAATACATGCGTCTGGTGTAATGAGCGTCGAAGTGAGAACAAAGTGTTCAAAGTCAGAGACGTGTACATATGTTTCTGGAGCAGGGTGTACAGATAAAATGTATAATGAACATGAAAAAGTGGAAAGAAAATATGGAAGTGATCATTATAATTATGGATCATTCACCATAACGTGTCATTAACATTGTCATGAATTAGACAATATTGAGGGTATGCTTTAATAGCTTGTTGTTATGATGTGACGCTTACGTTGAGAACTGCAGCCTTTAAGACTCTACCATTCAATCCATATCCTGTGTTTGGAAAGACCCGTGTAATGGCATCTTCTGAAGGAGACTGTGATACTTGTTGCAGTTTCCTTGAACCTTTCTCCCACATCAACGTATAAACCGAGGAGGTGATCTGTGAACAACGATTTTGTATACAAAACACATTTGTTAATGATACCATGAAAGTTCAGTTCCAAACTAAGAATATGAATATAAAACACCAGAGAATAACAAGTCTCGGTCGGGAGTAAAACGCAAAATAGCGGTGAAGATTATATGAATGCATCACTGGAAATCAGTAAAGACACCAGGTGTTCGCGAAAGAAATAAAATGCCTGGATGTTCCCGGATGATTGTGTATATTGTTGAAACACCGTTATTCAAATGTCTTAGTAGGCACAGTTTACACTCATGTGCAACTGATGAACAAACCTTCTCCATCGTGAAATTGCCGCCTATATTTTCTATTGACGTTACGGCCACATTGTCAAGGAGAACATCTACCATCATCAGGTCATCAGCATCTCCTCCATCCGTCAACACAATCAGCCATTTCGACATATGTCGTAGTAGCGAACCCCATCCATAGTGACGGTCAAGAAGGTGGGCCTACAACGAATAACACCAACAACATTGACCTGATTGTAATCGGTTCTAATTAAAAATAATGCTTTCATTAAGTGTCACAGTATTCAGATATGATAGCCTATTGTGATTAATATATTCAGAAAGTGTTTACATTGGAGGTTGATGACTGAGATAAACATCAAGACCGGGTATGATGGACTGGAAAAAAGTCTCTGAAACAGTAGAAACGTTTCACGTTAAAAAATAAATGTACTCATGTTTAATGGCAAAATGTGCCCAGAGCATTCAGAACAAAACAGGTCATTGAGATATAGGTTTCTTGGTTGTTGTTGTTGTTGTTGTTGTTGTTGTTGTTGTCATGCACTCACATATCTGACTGCACCACGTTACTCGTGACATGTCAATAATGTTAAAAAAGTCTTTTCAAAATCCTGAAATAAAATTAAGGTGTTCCCCATACCATCCTTCAACCGCAATATGATCGTAAACAGCCCTTAAGCTGTCGTAATCTGCTTTGATTTAACATACATGTACCCACGGCCTATGGTGAAAAGAACAAAAAAAAGTCCTAATAAGTTTGAATATTGTATCTAAAACTTTGAAATCCAAAATTCGTTTATCACTTACGCTTTGGCTGTTATTATATGATAACAAATGATATTATGAATAATGAAAGTGTAAGAATCCCTCACGCCTATCCTTACAAATACATTAGGCCCTTAAAATATCAGAATTAATTTCAAATTTTTGGGCGGGAAATCTTTACTTACGGATTATTACACAGCTGCGCTCGACCCCATAAAACAACTCTATCTATAATGTATTGATCTTGCCAGATTCCGAGGCAGAAACGCCTGAACAGGATTTGAAACCAGTGACATGAACAAGCACGAATTAGCGTTATAAACTTACAGCTGCCATTTATATGGCCATTAGTTTTCAGTATCATATCGCTTCATACAGCTGATCATATTAAAGTCGGTCACGATAAACAGAAACATGCATCAAGTGAAACCTATTTACTACTCATAAGAAACAAAACCCTTTCCGCGGGGACTCTGCTTGAAGCAGAGTCGATTTTACGATTCCGACTGTATCATGAGAAAACGTTCGACTTGACTGTAAAACCTGAAGACATGTCCATTCCTCGTTTGTACTGGCACCATACACATCCGTACAACGAGAGAGTCAAGTCCCGTTAATCCGACATGGTTGGTTGCCTATGATTATATCGGATTAAGGAGTATGTCGGGTAAACGAAATTAAGTAGTATGAACGTTCGTGATCGAAAATCGGACAACTATACGATAGATAACAATTCAAATACGTAATACAAAATGAAATATTCATATTGTTATGTCACATTGTTTGCGAATATGCAACCTCTTAACTTTAACACAAAAATGCTGTTACGGGCTATATGACTGATTCAAAATACTTTAAAAAGCATACTCTGGAATGGAAGTCGCCAGTTTGAAAAAAGTGCCGCAAACATTAGAAAGCTGCTTTCTTAGAGGTTAATGTCGACTTCCTGTTAGTCATTTCATCGGTCGATCAAAGTTCGCGAAAGGGATGTCCTCAGCGGTAGCGAGAACTTGTATCTGACTTTAATGAGATTGAGGTAATCTAAGCATGTGATTAATCCTGTTTTGTTTATTGAAAGCATTTATTGTTTATTGTTAAGCAAGATTTTCACTGCAGCCGTTGTAATATGCAGCTACTTGCCGACTCGATTCGCATCAAAACACGGGGCTGTGTGGTGGGCAGATGACCACGGAGTACGCTGATCACTGTGTCGGATTAACAAATTCCTTGCAAATTAGGTGTGTCGGAGTCGGAGTGCGTGAATGTTGGATTAACGGGTCTAAATACCACTGATTTAATCGGTTCCCATCATTAGTGTCGGATAAAGCCGATTGTCTGATTAACGAGACTACACTCCAGCAAATGTACCACCAAATCCCTGTCTCAAAGACTATCCATAACCCTTAATACAATCTAGGAAAGACTTTCTTTATATTCACAGATAGTATTTGAAACAAGTGGAATTAATACCATGTTATATTCTCAAAACCTCGAATAAAAGCATTAGCTTGAATTTTTGCAATCTCAGAAAAGAACAAAGTTCGGTTCTGTCAAAACATTTGATTTTTCAACTTTGTACACCACTATCCCACATGACAAACTTCAGGAAAAACTTCATTCCTTGATTCATGGGGCTTTTTTACAAAACGTGGTGAACACAGAACAGTACTTTCAGAGGTTCAGGACAACTGGTGAAAAATGAAAGCAAATGCCTTTGAAGTTTACTGATAAAACAATATGTGAAATGCTGGGATTCCTCATTGATAACATCTACCTTAAATTTGAGGGTTAGACATTTAGATAAGAAGTAGGCATTCCCATGGGCACCGATTGTCCTCCCTTTCTTGCGTATCTGTATCTTTA